CTGTATTAATATATAATTAATAATAAAAATTAATATAAATTACTCCAAAAAATTTCCTGATGAGGTAAGTCTTTAACTATTAAAAATATCAAAATAATAATAATTATAATTAATAATCTAATTAATACTATTACTTGGTGATTCTATACCTTTTTATTAATAAGTTTTTTTGATTTCAGTTCTTGATTTATTATTTAAATTTTTTGATGATAATAAATAATTATATCAATATAATAAGAACTTTTTTGATCAGATATATATTTTTATTTCTATCAGATAATTTAAGTTTTCTTTATCATTAAATTATTTTCATGTTTTATATTGGTGAGTAATTTTTTATCTTTGAAATTTATTTTTTTTATTTCTTATTAAACTGATATTTTTTCTTTTAGTAAACAAGTCTTTAACTATTATTAATATTAGAATAATAATAATTATGATTGATAATTTAATTAATACTATTATTTAATAATTTTATATTTTTTTATTGACAAGTTTCTTTAATTTTAGTTCTTAATTTATTATTTAAATTTTCTAATAATAATAAATAATTATATTAATATAATAAAAATATTTTTAACTAAATATATATTTCTATTTTTATTAGATAATCTAAACTTTTTTCATTATTAAATTATTTTTATATTTTATATTGATAAGTAATTTTTTGTTTTTAAAATTTATTTTTTTTTATTTCTTATTAAATTAATATTTCTTCTTTTAATAAGTAAGTCTTTAATTATTAAAGATATCAGAATAATAATAATTATAATTGATAATCTGATTGATACTATTATTTAATAGTTTTATATCTTTTTATTAACAAGTTTTTTTAACTTTAATTTTTGATTTATTATTTGAATTTCTAGTAGTAATGAATAATTATCAATATAATAAGAACTTTTTTAACTAGATACATATTTTTATTATTACTAAAAATATTATTTCAATTAATTATAATTTGTGATTAAAGATGCCCTCCAAAACATATTTGGCAAAAACCAAAATCTGAAACCTTCACATATAAATAGTATTTGCTATTATCAAAACCTTTTGATATATCTGAAACTCTTTGGCATAGCCAAAACTCTTTTGGCATAGCCAAAAACTTTTTGGCATAGCTGAAACTCTTTGACATAGTCAAAACCCTTTTGACATAGCCAAAACTCTTGTGACATAGCTAAAACCCTTTTGGCATGTCAAAACTCTTTTGGTATAACAAAAATTCAAGCATTGCAAAGCTAAAATTTATGATTTATTCATCAAATTCTTCTAACAAATCATTATTATTAAAATTTAAACTTTTCTTCCTATTATAGTTTTATTATTACTATTACTATAGTAACTATAAAGTTTGATCATTATCTAAAATATCTATATCTTCTTCTGGAATTCTTCCTAAACTATCAATAATAAGATGATTATTAAGGTTAATTATTTGTTCAATAGTTAAAGATTCAATTATCACTGTAACATCCTTAATAATATCACTACTTAAAGTTCTTGAAAGTTCATCCATATCCTTCTCCTTCTTCTCATATACTTTGACTATTACATTCTGTACTATGGCCAAGATTTGGTAATCTGATAATTTTTTGTTGAGTTTTCCATAAAAAACTAATTCTTTGTGAATATTAAACCGATAAAAGAATATTAACTTCATTATAGTTTCTAATTTTTTCACACTAAAATGAAGACAACATTTGCTAGTAAGCCATTCTAAAGTAGAAAACCCCCTTTCACAACTTGCCAAATTTGAATAAATAGAAAATAAATATATTATGAGTTGTTGAATATGATTTTTCTTGAGTTTGATACAATTCCACCATTGGAGGGGATTGTCATGAGATGAAGCAAATGGTAGATCAAAGAGAAATTCATAGCTTTTATATTATTGAAGTTGAGAACATAAAATCCTAGTAGCTTTGAGATCTCATTCAAATGAGTGTTCAATATCTATAGTCACTTTAATAATTTGATTGTACATGCCAAATTTAAATAGCTTGACTATAATAAGAAGTTAGATTAGTAAATTTACTAATAAACGTCATTGCATAATTAAAATACATATCTTAATATAGTAAATATAGAAAAAAACTAAGTATATACTTATCATCATTGAATTCATCAAAATGAGAATTTATTTTTGTTATATAGTGATTATAAAAAGAGATATTGGCATGATGAGATATTTTTTTTATTGCAGCACTCAGATGAACAAGTCTCAAAAAACAATCAGTCAATGAAGCTGACCAGACTTCCAAAGCTAATACAGTCTCATGTATAGGATTTAAAACAAATATCAATATCTCCAGATCAAGAAAAAAGTTTTGGTCTTCAATAATTGGTTTTATTTAGTTATTGGTAAGGTAAGAAGAATAGTTGATGGCAAGCTAAATAGGGAAAAATAGTTAGTTTAGAACTTGAAAATTATTATATTCATATTATTTACATCTTGAAGAATAGGCTTTAGTCTAATTATAGAATTAACACTTTCACTTGATATTGTCCATCTCATTTTACAATATGACTTTAGGCCTCCATCACTAATATCTGAAGCTTCAATCATTTCTTGAATTTTAGAATCTACAATATAATTCAAAATGTAAATATTCTTACCTGTCCTGCTATTATTATAAAAGAATATTACAAGAATATTTATATGGCAAAGTAATTTATTGGCAAATTTATGTGCAACAATATTACATGCAATAAGATTGATATAGTGAATAATACATCTTACATTTTAAATATTAGGATACTGGTGATTAATTTCTTCTCAGGCTTTTCTCATATTAGATGTATTATTACTTATAATGATAGCAAACTTATTGAATCCAACCAAGATAATTATTTCATTCATTTTTTCTATCAGATATTCAGCAGTGTGAGATTCACTTGACAAATCAGATAATCAATACAAGTATTTTTTTTTATTCAGTATAAGAAGAATGAAATTTCAAAATAACTGATAAGTTCTGCTAGTCTATCCATCAAAAGCTATAATACAAATAAAAATATATTATTAAACAGATAATAATAATTATAAATATAACTTCTTATCA